TTTGCCTGTCTAGGGGTGCCTAGATGGCTCAGTTGGTTAAGCTTCTGACTTCAGCTCAGGTCATGATCTCACAGTTCATGGGTTTAAGCCCTGCATTGGGCTGTGTGCTGACAGCTCCAAGTCTGGAGCCTGCTTCAGATTCTGTCTCCCTCTGTCTCTGCCCCTCCCCCGCTCGTGCACGTGCTTGCTCTCAAAAATGAATAAACATTAAAAAAATTAAAAATAAAATCTTTTTGTCTGCTATAACTACTTCAACTTTCTTTTGGTTTCCATTTGCATGATATATCATTTTCCATCCCTTCATTTTTAGTCTCTGTGTGTCCTTATATCTGAAGTGAATTTTTTTGTAGGTAGCCTGTATCTTGGTCTTGTTTTTATTTTTTAAATCCACTCAGCCACTCTGTCTCATGGTTCTAAAATTTAGTCCATTTACATTTGAAGTATTTATTGATAGGTATGTACTCTTTGCCATTCTGTTCATTGTTTTCTGGCTATTTTATAGTTCTTCTCTGTACCTTTCTTCTCTTGCTCTCTTCTGTTGTAAATTGATGACTTTCAGAATGGTATGTTTAGATTTCTTACTCTTTCTTTTATGAGTATCTACTAGAGGTTTTTGCTTTGTAGTTATCATGATACTTACATATAAATACTTCTATTTATAACAGCTTAAGTTGATAAGAACTTAAGTTTGAATGCATTTTTAAAGCTCCATATTTTTATGTTTTTTTGGCATCACGTTTTACCTCTTTTTATCTTGTGTGCCCTTTAGTTATTATAGTTTTACTTTTGACTTTTAGTGTTTATACTAGCTTTAATAGTGAATAACCAATTACCTTTACCATCCATACATGTATCTGTGTGGTTTATACTTTTATAAGTTTTCTTGTTACTAATTAGCACCCTTTCTTTTCATCTTAAATTCCCTCTCAGATTTTTTATAAAGCCACTTTAGTAGCGATGAACTCCTTTCGCTTTTGTTTGTCTGGAAAATTCTGTACCTCGTCTGAATGATAACTTTGATTTTGGGTAGAATATTCTTGGTTGGGATTTTTTTTCTTTGAGCATTTTGAATATATTGTGCCATTTCTTTTTGGTCTGCAAACTTTCTGCTGAGAATTCTGATAACTTTATGGGGGGAGGGGACAGTTCCCTTATACATAACAAGTAGTTTTTATTTTGTGCGTTTAAGATTCTCTCCTTGTCTTAAACTTTTAACATTTAATTGTAATGTACCTTAGTGAGAATTTCCTTGAGTTCATCTTATTTGGAACTTTATGGGCTTCCTGGCTCTGGATGGTTATTCTTCCCTAGGTTAGGTTAGTTTTAAATATATATATATATATGTATATATATATAATCTTAAATTTATTTATTTTTGAGAGAGATGGAGTGAACAGGGGAGAGGTAGAGAAAGAGAGAGAAAATCCCAAGCAGGCTCTGCTCTGTCAGCACACAGCTCAACATAGGGCTTGATCCCACAAACAATGAGATCATCACCTGAGCTGAAATAGAGAGTCAGATGCTCAACCAACTGAGCCACCCAGGTGCCCCTAAGCCTATATTTCTTTAATTGTTTTCTGTACCTTCTCTTTCTCCTTTCCTCTGGGCCCCCTCTAATGCAAATATTAGCCTCCTTGATATTGTCCCTTAAGTCCTTTAAGGTATCTTCCCTTGTTTTAATTTTTGTTTTTCCTTTTGCAGTTCTGATTAGGGTGAGTTCCTCTGCCCTGTCTTGGAGTTCATTGATCCTTTCTTCTACTCCATCTTATCTTCTAGTCTTCTGTTGAACCCTTCTCATGTACTTTCAGTACACTTACTTACTCTTTACTTTTGTAACTTCTGTTTGATACTTTTATCTTCTCTTTGTTGAAGTTCACTCTGTTCATCCATTTTTCTGGGTTTTTTGAGCATCTTTATGACAGTGTCTTTGACCTCTTTATCAGGTAAATTACTTATCTCCATTTTATTAAGGAATTTTTCCTGAAGTTGTATTTTTTAAAATTTGGAACATATTCTTTTGTTTCTTCATTTTGCTTGACTTTCTGTGACAGTTTCTATGCATTAGATGAAATAGCCACCTCTCTGATTTGAAGGAGTATCTTCCTGTAGATGACCCTTATTGTTCAACCCTGCCCCTAACTTTTGGTCATCTCTTAAAATCTTTGTGATTTTCCAAGGAGCCTATTTTATTTTTTAATGACTCCCAGTAGATGAAGGTGTGCCAAGACATGTCAGTGTCAAAAAGGGGAGGATCTCAGTAGGCATCTGTATTCAGGCAGACTGGACCCAGACCGTCAGGCAGCAGCAGCTTTTAAGGTCTGGAAATATATACAGTCTTGTGGAACTGCAAATGTATACCCTGCTGGCCCTGAAGCCAAGTACTCTAGGTATCAACTGGGCAGCAGCCAAAAAAAAAATCTCCAGATGGATTTTAACATAGCACTAGTGGGCCTGCTACTCTCCAGGGAGAGAAGCTGGTGGGTGCTATCTTTGTGTCCTCTGCCTTGCTCTAGTCAGTAGGCATCAATTTCAACCTCCTTGCCATGCCTCTGAGTGCCAGTAGCTCCCAGAGGGGAGCTTTTACACAAATCTAGTGCCCTGATTTCTGCAGCGCTGCCCAGGAAACACCCTTTGATTACCTGGTCTGGTGTCTGGGGCAGTTTATGTGCCTAGATTCCATAGGCCTGCAACAATCGGGAGACATTTGTTGACAGATTACCACTCCCAGAGCATTGGACAGACAACAGGCTGACACGTAGCCCAGTTTATCTGAGAAAGAGCTCAATTTGCTTGTCCAGGAGCTCTGGCCTGAGGGACAAGCTTTAGGTTTGGTGCATATCTAGGAGCCTATGGAGGTATTCTCAAGGAGCACACCAATGAAGGTCAACTTTGAGTTCTCTCTGCCTTTCCTTTAATTACAAATAATATTGTTGTGTAGCTCACACATTGACAACGGGTTAAAAGATTGATTATTGCATTTGCACATATCAAACACAAACATCCAGTACTTTCACAGTGGATATTCAGGGATAACCGATTTGTCTGTAGCTTCATTTTTTTTCTCCCTAAATGATATCCCCTTTAACTTTTTGTTCCTGAGATAAAAGCTATAGAGATTTTATTTCTTCATGCACTTGTCTGCAACAATAAGCATTAACACATTTTTAGATGTTGTAGGTTGTCTAACTTATGTTAACACTTTTGCAGATGCTGTAGATTTTCAAATTTAGGGTATGAACAACCATGCTTTGTGTGGTGGTGAGGAAAGATAGTTTGGAATGAAAATGTGTAATTATAAGTATTAGAACACACATACATTTAAACAATACTAAAGACCCAGAAGTGAAAATATTTTCCTGATACCTAAATGTGGTGAGAGGATATTCTTTATGAAGATTTTAAAGTCTGAATCATTGATTGGATATCCAGATCTTGTGTGAGGTGGCTACGTATGTTTTTCATCCAATTCTTTAGTCCTACTTTGTTCAAGAATTAATTTCCTTCCTATATCTCTTAGATCAACATGTCCACTTTTACATATAAGATGTCCAGAATCTAATCTTACATGTCACTAGCTTACAGGGATACCTTCCACCCCCCACCCTTCAATTAAATGTAAAGGCACTAAATCAGTACACTTTTGAGATTTTCTAATGATCCCTCCAAACTGGCAGTGTCTTTGGATTTTCAGTATTTGCCCTGGAAGGTAACGTGAGGAAAACAAGTTACTTTTAATCAATGTTCATATCCAAACCAGTTACTACTACTTTGTCCTATAAACCACTGTGTATAAAACACAAGACAATGTGGTACATCTTCCCTTTCTGTGAGGAACTTTTTAGGAGGACTAGTTCTCTCCAATAAGTGAACCCTTGCTGAAGAAAGCAGGATTACTTACCAGTATGTCTCCTCATAGAAAGGAAAAATCCTTCAGTTTAGAGCTCAAGTCCTGCTTCTGCAGAGGATGAAACAAAATATCGTTTTTTTGTTTGTTTTTCCTCCTATTTGCTTAAAAATTTAGCCTAGGAGAAAGTTGTCATGATTGAATTCAGAAAGCATATGCCAGAAGGAAATAGAGATTCAGATGGAATATTAGGGTAAATGCTTTGTGTCACAAGAACCATGAAAAACACAGGAATTTAAGGAAGAACATATTTTAATGTTTGAGACCAGTCTTTCCGAGGTGACAAGGGAAATAAGAACTATTACAACAAATAACTATTAACACAATTCAATCCTTGATAATCTTTCGTATGATAATTCCCTTATAGTCATTTACATCTCTTAATGCTAGCACAGGATTCTGAAGTTGCCAAGCATAAGTTGCATGTAACTGAGCAGAAAGATCACAATCTCCCCGTATTGCTAGAAGAGCTTCAGGATGTGGAAGATGACAAAGTTCTTAACCATGAAGAGCCAAAATGTGCTAAAAATAATGTCCATTTGCATAATTAGTGATAAAATATAAGCCCATTTGCTATAAAGTAAGAAAATGGTTACAATGCCTGCTGTTGCTGTACAAAGGATTCCACAGAGAAAGAAACTTAAGTAATATATAATGAATGGCTCTTAAGGCCAATCATTTATTTTCCATTCTTAAATGTCTTTCACAATTGGTGGCGCTCATGAAATGTGATGTACTGACAGTCCTGGCGTCAGTCTATTGCAACGAATAGGGACACTGATGTTTTCCCTTGATAAAGAAGACAAGCGTTCAGGGTCCAACATTTGTTGAGAATGTGCACTGTGCTGAATTTGCCACCAGGGAACCAGTTGGTGAATCAGTACCAAATAAAAACAATTGGTTCATGCTTGAGCCAGGTCCATAGAAACTGAAATCAATTTGTGAACATGAAGAATTTTAAAAGGCTCCGGTTTTGTGTTCAAGGTATAAATTTTTAATAATATCTTAAAATCAGTTAGAAATATGCTGCTGCTTAGTGCAAAAATAATGCCACCATTTCTTCAACTAGAAGGTGTGTTTCGTAAAAATAAAGCATATTTAATCTTCATTTTGTAGGTCAATAGTAACAATGGTCCTGATGTAGCTGGTACATAAAGGTCGAAACTCATTTACTGCCTGTAAAATAGAAGAAATGTTCTTAATCAGAAAGCAGTGGGAAAATCCCTTACGGATTTTAATCTCGGGGTGCCTGGGTGGCTCAGTTGGTTAAGCCTCCAACTCTTGATTTAGGCTCAGGTCATCAACTCACAGCTGGTGAGATGAAGCCCTGCATCTGGCTCTGTGCTGTCAACACAGAGATCCTCTCTCTGCCTCTCCCCCACTCATGCTCAGGCTCTCTCTAAATAAATACATATTAAAAAAAATAATTTCAATCTCCCATAACCTGCCCTAGACAATAATGTATTAATTACTTGTGACTTTTTGTTATAATTAGCTAGAAATAATCAAGAAACAAAATATCACTGGGGCACCTGGGTGACTCAGTTAAGCCTCTGACTTAGATCACGATCTCACAGGTTTGGGGTTCGAGCCCTGCATGGGGCTCTCTGCTGTCAGCAAAGAGTCTGCTTTGGATCCTCTGTCTTCTCTCTCCCTCTGCCCCTTGCCTGCTCCACTTTCTCTCCCAAAAATAAACATTAAAAAAAATAAAAAAAAATTAAAAGGATTTTGCACTAAAGCTATATTCGTACTTTCAAAGGTGATAATTTCATTTTTTTATTCCATTCCTCCCAGAACTTAAGATGCAATGTAGTAATCTGCTTGATGCAATGAGTAATCTGCTCATAGGCCTTATTTACTCATTCAGTCTTTGTGTTTTAATTTACATTAGATATCTCAAAACTTGGAGGATATATTGAAAATGGTAGTTGGGTAGACAAATCTAAAAATGTTTGTAGGCTAATTTTATAACCCCTCTTTGGTAAAATGAATACAGGTAATAATTTTTGGTGTATACTTACTTATTTTACTTTCTTTGATCTGCACGCACAGTATGAAATCATAAAAGCCACAAACATCACCACGCCAACACTGAGTAAGGTAATTTCTACCAGGCCAAGAAGGTTGATTTTTCCAGTCACTCTTTTTCTAAACATTTCTGCCTTCTCATCACCAATGGTACCAGTCTGTAATAAAGTTAATGATTAACATGATTTGAATAGATGAGCAAAGCAAAAGACTTAAAACCTTCCACTTACATATCACTCTTTCCTCCAAATGCTTGCATAGGTGTTAGTCATCTGTATGTTTAAGATAAACTAGGATAATTCACTTTGCATGTCAAAGGCGGCAATAAATGCCAAGGTAGAATACTTAGTGAAATATAATCCTTCCCCCACTTTGCACATGTTATATAGCACTATTGAACATGATAGGCTTCACTGATCTTCAGAATGACCTTATAACATCCTTTCCAAAAGATGCTCCCTTTAAGTGGCAAGGTTTCAATAGTTTCAATTGCTCTGAAGTTTTATGTACTGCATTCCCCAATTCTGGGGCTAATTGATATCATGGTTTACACTAAAATTATGTCATCAGGGAATAGGATAGACTGCATACACCTATTCTAACCTGGCCTTTATAAGTTTGGTTGACTTTTATTACCAGTATAATATTCACTGAGTCTTGAGTTATTTGGAGTTACATGTATGTATGACTCTTTCTTAAAATAAGCACTATGCCAAGAAAAAGTGCCTAAAGATGCATTTTGAAAATAATCTAAAATGATAGAAATTACTTTGATTTTCTAAAAGAAAAATACTGAAAACTGATACAACTATGTGATTGGGTTTTCTCAAATATATATATATATATATATATTCATCTATATGGGCAATGAAAACATATACAACTTCAAAAACTATACATATATATTTAATTTTGAAACACCAATGAAGTTTACTGTTTTTAATGACTGAGAGATAAAAATACTAACCTCATTAAGCCAAAGAATAGGCACAATATAGTTCCGCTTAAGACCCTTTAATGCCCTGTAATATACATTAAAAGTAATTATGAAAATATATACTAATATATTACACATACACAACAGAAATTTCAACAAGTACTAGTGTAAATATATGTTCAGAAATTAGTTGCTTTTGCAACTTGGTTAAGTTCCTTGATTTCTGTTCCCTGTAACAAGTCATTTGAATGTTAATATAGCTGTTCCTCAGATATTTTCCATGCTTACAAATCTGTTTAATACAGATATATAATTAGATTAACTTTTTCTAAGCACAGATTTTCCCTTTCAACAAATTCTACCCAGGAAGGTAAAATATGAATTCTGGAAACTATGGTCATAGAAGTATCTGGACAGCTAGCAAAATGAGAGATACCACCAAATACTTAAATTAAAACATATCAAAATATGTGTAAATATCATTTCTATAAACACTAGGCATAATTATAAATTTAAAAAATTATCATAAGCATTTAATAATTATTTAATGACATTAAGCAAAGAGAAGTTGAAATTTTATATTCTTTCCACTTCTTATAAGAATGTGAGTTAGTCTATGAAAAGAAAATACTACAAAAATCATGCAGTGATAACCTCACTTAAGAGACTTACTCAATTTTCTTTGCTGGTTTGACCAATATGTTGATTTGCAGCCGTTTTGCAAATCGTAAAGTGAATCCAGTTATCTAAAAAGAGAACAAACTAATTACCAACTTTAAACAAAAAGTTGCAATATCCAAACTTACTTTTATTATTATGTAAAATTTAATATGACACTACTACTTGAAACTTGTGAAATTAATTGGACATATTAAATTATTACATATCTATAATTACATGTGTATATGCAGGCATATATATGTATGTGGGTATGTGCACACATAATGACTTTGTGCAACAAAATGTCAGGTCTTTAGTTAGATATGTGATATTTAACCAAATAGCTATCTATAATTACATGTGTATATGCAGGTATTGCATACACAATTTCTTTGCCCAACCAAATGTCAAGGTTTTAGTTAGATTTGTGATAGTTACCTAACATGGTTTTGGTAATCAGCAATATGGAAACACAGAGCTCATATAATTAGATTCTTAAACTACACAAGGCCAGATATATATTCAGTAAAAATCCATGTATCCTCAGTGTAATTATACTAGTTGTATCATTATTTAAAGTGACACATGACTATTAAAATTTTGACATTTCATTTGACTTTTGAAGAGGAAAATATCAAAATCATTTAAAACTTTAAACTGTTGAGTTACAGGAATTTTTATTGATTTTTCTTGACCCTAAGTGAAATAGATCTTGCCCTGAATTCACATAATACCCATAAAATATCTTTTAATTCCTCATAATACACAGTATCTCTTCATATAAGCAGTATTTACAGTTATAAATTACTGTTTGATGATTATTTTATACATCTCAAATTGTTTTATTTAAGCCAATTAGAATCATTCCCATCATTGGTATTCCTGACCTATGAACCATTAGATAGGCATATAAATTTCCATATGCTGAGAAACTGAAGTTTAATTACCTTGAAATTTCATAAGCAACAATAGAAAGAAATCAATGTCATTTTGACTGAAATAATAGTAATATATCAAGATTTTGATTCAGTAACTGCAATTAACAAGGAGAGAATTTACTTTTTCTTTCAATTTAATGAAATCAGATCAATAATATGTTTGCTTACAGGTTCAACATCTAAGTATGTGCTATGTTCGTCTTCATTTGGATTTAAGCCTTCAATGGGTTCTGCAATATCAGGACTTGCATGTAGAAAATGAGGAAGTGAAATATACACAGGTTTTCCTGAAAACATGTTAAGAGATATTGGAGATAAATAATTTTTCTCATTTCGCATACCACCCAAAAAATATTTCCTTAAAAATAAAACTTAAACTTTTTTTAATGTTTATTCATTTTTGAAAGAGAGAGAGGGGCAGAGAGAGAGAGAGAGGAAGACACAGAATCAGAAGCAGGCTCCCGGCTCTGAGCTGTCCGCACAGGGCCCGACACAGGGCTCAAGCTCAGAAACCGCGAGATCATGACCTGAAATTAAGTCGGATGCTTAACCAATTGAGCCAGTCAGGCAGCCCAAATATAAAAATTTTAAAATAAAAGAATGCATAACTAGGCTTGAACAATGATTGGGGAGTGAGGGTGGGGGAGAATTATATTACCTGATCACTATTGTACAAAAAGAAAATCAAAATTTATGCATCATCCTATTAAACAGTAAGTTAATGCCTGCTGTTCTTCCTTAGATGTCAATTTTCAATATGTAAAGATGAGCTGCTGAGCATAAAATTTCAATCATGTTCTTGTTTCAGGCAGTAATAAGTCTGTGAACTGAGAATTAATTTAAGAGGTCTTCTTTTTTGCCTTCACATTGACTCCAATATGAAGGTGAGCTAAATAAGATTCCAAGTTTTGTTTTTAAGTCAATTCTTCTTTCAGAGACATATTGAAAACATATTTTTATTTACCAATTTCTAGGGAAGAAAAATCTAGAAATATGGCAGATGGACAAGTTGGGATGTTCAAAGTACTCTAGGAATTATTCTTGTTTTACCATCTATTTGAAAGGAGCCCAGGAAACCAACAAAATGAAAAGCGTAACTGTGGAATGGATACAAGCCACATATTCAGTAAGTAGTTGATATAAAAAACATATAATGAATTCATAGAACTCAAAAAAAAAAAAAAAAAACACCAGATAACAAACAATGGGCTAAGGACCTAAATAGACATTGTCCAAAGTAGAAGGGAAATATCGGTATGGTTTTACCTAATAATAACTAAGTTTCACAACACTGGAACACAACTGGGACCTCAAAAACAAAACAAAAATCAAAGCAAAATTATTCTATTACCACGCTTCCTTAACTGTCTTCTTGCTTTCTCGCTTTAATTTTAAATTTTGGTTGAAAGGGATCTTGGGTAAAAGTTGCATTTTTTTAAAAATGTTTATTTATTTATTTTGAGAGAGAGTGTGCGCACAAGCAAGTGGTGAAGGGGCACAGACAGAGAGGGAGACAGAGAATCCCAAGCAGACTTTGTCAGCACATAGCCCCACGAGGAGATCATCTCACAAACCTCAAGATCATGACCTTAGCCGAAATCAAGAGTCAGGTACTTAACTGACTGAGCCACCCAGGTGCCTCAAGGTTGCATTTTATTTTGTGTATTTTTTTCAGTGTTTATTACAGTTCTAGTTATTTAACATATAGTGTAAAACTGGTTTCAGGAGTAGAATTTAGTGATTCATCACTTACATATAACATCCAGTGCTCATCAAAGTGCCCTCCTGAATACCCATCACCTATTTAACCCATCCGCCATCCACTTCCCCTCCAGCAACCCTCAGTTTATTCTCTGTACATAAGAGTCTTTTTGGTTTGCCTCCCTTTCTTTTCTTGTCCCTTCCCATATGTTCATGTTTTGTTTCTTAAATTCCACATATGAGTGGAATGATACGGTATTTGTCTTTCCCTGATGAACGTATTTTGCTCTGCACAATACCCTCTAGCTCCATCCATAGCACTGCAAATGGCAAGATTTTACTCTTTCTGAAGGCCAACTAATATTTCATTGTATATATGTGTGTGTAAATGTCCATCTAATGATGAATGGATAAAGAAGTTGTGGTATGTGATATATCTTTATCCATTCATCAGTCGATGGATATTTGGGCTCTTTGCATAGTTTGACTATTGTTGATAATGATGCTATACACACTGGGGTGCATGTGCCCCTTCAAATTTGTATTTTTGTATCCTTTGGGTAAATACCTAGTAGTGCAATTGCTGGGCAATGGGGTAGTTCTATTTTTAACTTTTTTAAAAAAAGTTTTTTTAATGTTTGTTTATTTTTGATAGAGAGAGAGAGTGAGTGAGTGAGAGAGGAGAGCATGCATGAGCAGGGGAGGGGCAGAGAGAGGGGGAGACACAGAATTCAAAGCAGGCTCCGGGCTCTAGGCTGTTGGCACAGAGCCCGATGCGGGGCTCGAAACTCACGAACCATGAGATCATAATCTGAGTCAAAGTTGGATGCTTAACCAACTGAGTTACCCAAGACGCCCCTATTTTTAACTTTTTGAAGAACCTCCAGACTGTTTTCCAGAGTGGCTGCACCAGTTTGTGTTCCCACCAACAGTGTAAGAGGGTTTCCCTTTCTCTGCATCCTCACCGACATCTGTTTCCTGTGTTGCTAATTTAGTCATTCTGATGAGTGTGAAGTGGTATCTCATGGTTTTGATTTGTATTTCTCTGATGATGCTCACTCATCATCAAGGCTTCAAATTATATCATGGACTGTGACACTGAGAACACTTACCTTCTTTGCATCTGCCAATGTCTAATACACCATATGATGTACAATTATTGGAGATAACGGTTTCTGTGCAGAAACAATGGTTATCTGGATTTTGAAGTGGAGATGCAAAGGCCATGGATGGAAGAACAAATCTATAGACAGGGATTCCTTTCAGGTTAATTTCAGCTCCAAACACAGCATAGATTGACCTAAACACAGAGAAAAAAGAGCTTTATTCCAGGAACCTAAACTACATTCTAGAGATTATTTTTTCCTCTTATTTTTAGATTATATTCTTGCTTTAAATAAGAAAGATTAGATACTTGGGGCGCCTGGTTGGCTCAGTCAGTTAAGCAATTGACTATGGCTCAGGTCATGATCTCGCAGTTTGTGGGTTTGAGCCCCACATCAGGCTCTGTGCTGACAGCTCCAACCCTGGAGTCTGCTTCATATTCTGTGTCTCCCTCTCTCTCTCTCTCTCTATGTCCCTCCTCTGCTCGTGCTCTGTCTCTCAAAAATAGATAAATGTTAAAAAAAATTAAAAGAAAGATTGGATACTCTTGTTAGAATTTTAAATCCTCATTTAATTCACATGAAGAAACTTTCTTGTGAAATTTTAAGGCATACAAGGACACAATACCTGAGCGTGAACTATTCTTTGTTCTCAAAAGCTTCCAAGAACAATTTTTGCTTATGTATTACCATGGATTATTTACACTGAAGACGTTTCTCATAGTTAATTTCCTCTGTAGATTAAATATTTATATGATTTCCCTCAAATCCTTTATTTGTGCCCAGGTTACATGAAATACAATTAAAATTTCTTTCTTTCAAAACTTAATCCTGGAGAGAAAGGCCACATACTCAATGAGGTACTTGCATGTGAGTTCTTGATACACATCTCATTATTTACTGAGTTGCCTCCATTGTTGACTTAGTATTCACCAACACCTAGGCAATGTGCGGGGGCTCTATACCTATTTCTTCTAATCCCCACATAACCCTATATGAAGAAACACTGCTCTCTTCAATTTTACAGATAAGGAAAATACTGAGATATTTTAAATGTTTGCTCATAAACATATGATCTTTAGGAAAAGGGCTAAGAGTGAACTGGCGTGGGCTCCAATGCTTATGTGATATCTACTGGGTTCCACCGTTTTTAAAAGAGGCTGTTAATGTGACATTAACATAGTTCTGTGACAATGGCATCATCTTCTCTGGACAACATTAGAAAGATGGGGATGACCTTCTAGACATAATTGCTATTGAATATACTATTAGTTTAGTTTTAAAAAAAAAATAGTTCACGCTTAAAAATGAGAATAATTTGCATTATGTAAAATATCCTCCTGCAGCCCTCAATTTTTAGAAAAGTTAATAAGCACATTATCAATTCCATATTGTATTTATCCTGAATAAATCAAGAAAAATTTCCCTATGTGTATTTTAGTCTTCTCAGAAAACATAATTATTAAGTATAAGCTTCTTGGTCTGTGCTTTGTCACGAGGAAAAAAAATTCTAAGTTACAGAAATACATTGGGCGTCTTGGTCTTACCTGCAAATGTCAGAAGAAAAGAAACGTAACACTCGCGTCTTCTCAACAAAAGGTGGAAATGAGGCTGCGTCTGTTCAAAAATCAAGCCAGTGGCAAGGGATTAGATGTAATGCGTATCCTAGAAAAATCTAGAAATCTCTATTCCAGTATGGTCAATAGAAATATAATGCAAACTGTAGATGTACTTTTTAAATTCTTTAGTAGCCAATTTTTTTAGGAAAAAAACAAAACAAAACAGGTATATATTTTTTTAACCCAATGTATCTCAAATGCCATCATTTCAACATGTAATCGATCTAAAAATTAGCAAAATCCCATGTGTATTTTATATTTATAGCACATTTCAATTCCTTAATAGCAACACAGGGCTAGCAGCTACCATATTCAGCAAGTCTGTATATTATATATATTCATTGGTATTTACTTTCATGTTAAATTTTCCCACACCTTAAAAATAAATATTTACAAAAATAATAGCAAAATCACATGTTGTTAAAATTGTGATTGTGTTTGTTTTTTAAATCTCCCCACCCTTTAAGGAGAGTGGCACTTTTATTTCTATGAAATTCACTTAGGACTTCAGTTAGTTATGTTTTTCTTACATTTTATAGGGATTCATTCGTCTGTCCTAATGGTTGAGTAATATTTTAAAAATTTATTAAAATTCTCACTAGAATTTCCTCTAACTGCTTTGAAATATATCCATCACCTTACAAAAAGGATTTTGTTGTATTTATTGAATTTCTACTATGGTTATGATCCATGGAACACACTGGATATATGAAGAAATAACTTGATAACTCCTCTATTAGCTTCTCAAATAAGTATCACTAAAATGAGCCACAGAACTGAATGTGTTTGTTGTAAACAGTGCCCATCCTTCAATTACGCTTCAACCTTGTGATCTTACTACATTTCACTTATACTCTTGTGATCAATGAAATAGAATATCACAGTGAATTTGATTGTGGTATTGAGAGCATTGGATATTAGAGTTTAGTTTAAACTCCCCAGATAGGTGACTCAGTGGACATCATCTCCAACTGCCTTTCCAACACTTTAACCATTGAAGGAAAAGAATACATTAAAAAGCTGTAAGAATTATTACTGAAATATCATTGAAGATTATGCCATAATTATTTCTAACAAGTACCATGGAAATAAGTACAAGATTGCAGACTTTTTTTTTTTAAACATTCAGATGTGTATCAATATTTTCATGTTCTGTCTCTTACTCACTGAAGGTGGAGGGGACACTTCTATACTATGACTTTTTCAGTTTTGTTGGTTGCTTTTCCCCGAGGCCATCAACCAAGAATCTCTCTCCCAGTGATCACATCTGAGTCCTCTGCTCTGTCCAATCTCCCTCTGATCCTCATTTGTTTTCCTTCTTTTTTCCTCTTAGATACTTTTAAGTTTATGCCTGATGCTCATGTACTTATATTTTTGTGATTAATGAATTCTTTACCTCCCCTTTTAAAACTTTTTAGCTTTGGACAGAATTGTTTAATAGCTTTTTTTTTTTTTTCTTTTCATTACCATTAAGAATCCATTACTATTAAGGAGCAGTACAATCTGTTTCTCTGTATTTAAAGTCTGAAATACTACACTTATGTAATTATTGGAGTTAGTAGTATTAGGACACTTGACAATTTGCAGAAATGCTTTGTTTAGGGATTTCTTGAAACTTGCTACAAAGCAAACTCAACTGTGTTTTTGCTGTTGTTTTCTAGAAGACAGTGGTAACAAAATTAAATAGGCATGTAAAGCTCAACAATACCTTTGGGAAAGTGAATACCCTGTGTTTTGTTCTTATTCCCCACCCTTTACATAACTTTGTATTTAACTTTCTTCATCTTTAATATATTGTTTTCCTACAGGGTACTGCCTCACCAGCTTTGTAAACATCATGCTTCTCTGTCTTTGCTTCTGCATTGCTGAGAGCACACCTTATCTCAGGTTTTAATTACCTCATGGTATTGATCCCCATTTGCTTTTTAAAACCTTAGTTCTTAAACTAATAGGTCTACGTGTACTTTGCTTTTCTTCATGGAGAAGAAGCAGCCAGATCTAACCATGCTGCAAATCTAAGTTCCTTCTACTTTCTTTTCTCCCCACTTCTAGTTCAGAATATTCATTTTTGCACACATTTTTCATGGTTAGTGGGCATGAAACCTGTTAAGTTTTTGTTTTTCTTTCATTCTGATCACCTTATTCAGAAATACAGGGCTGTCTTGCAACTTCACAGTTTCTACTTCTGCTTGAAATCTCACTTGAAAGTAGATTTTACCTTTTGTAATTATCTTCATTTTTAAAATGTTTCAATTTTAAATCATTTTCTGTACAGTATTTATAAAACATGTGAATATTAACTACTTTTCTAAGTTTTTCTTTTTACTCTTTTACTTCTGTTGCCATGAAGATAGTTCATGTAGTCAAGGTTTTACTAATCAAATGTTTCCCTAGTAATGCAGTAAAGGCTAATCCTCAAGGATTAATCTTCAGAAATCCCATCACATTAGGCAGACATTTACTAAGCCTGTGTAACAATAGACACTCTCAATTATGTCCTTGGGATATAAAGATAGGTAAACGCATACCCTTAACACTCAGAACATTGTAAGTACAATGGTGGAATTTGTGGGAGAGAGGGAGGTGGGTTTATGGTGATTATTACCACAAAACAAATGCCCTTACCTGTACCATTAATCATGTCACAATAACTTGGCCAATAGGAGAGATTCCTTTGGAATAAAAAGAAAGGAAATAGATAAACATTCTTTTTTCTAGAGTACCTTTCTCATATTACTTTGTCTATTATGATTCAATATTGCTAAAATAAGATTAGATGTGTGACAAATGCTAAGTTTAAGCAATGTTCTAAGTCCTGTGGTTTATGTTTTGTTTGAAGGTTTCATCTTGTTGAGATAAATTAAGTGCCCAATACCATTAAGTGCCAGATTATAAAATAGAAAGTGCCAAATGTTAACACAACTTAGAATAGAAAACAGTTCTGAAAAAAGAAAAAGGAGAAATACCTCAGAAATTTATATCTCTACATAGCAGAGAATTTTCTTTTTCCATTTGGAGAAATGAACTATTTGGTAATATGTTGAGTTTTCAAAATATATAGGTAAATATGAAGTGGTTTTCTTCATATTTGAGGGAGGGAGTATGAGGGAGAAGAGGGGTGTAGGGAAGAAGAAAGAAAAGCTGATGTCGAAGAAAGAGATGGAAACATATAGATCATCAATTTATACTTTTCTCCCTTTTAACTCTTGCATAAGCTTGCATTAAAGTAGGACAGAGTTGGGGCACTGGGGTGGCTCAGTTGGTTAAGCGTCTGACTTCAGCTCAGGTCATGATCTCACAGTCTGTGAATTCGAGCCTTGTGTCAGCCTCTGTGCTGACAGCTCAGAGCCTGGAACCTGCTTCGGATTCTGAGTCTTCCTCTCTCTCTGCCCTTCCCCTGCTCATGCTGTTTCTCTTTGTCTCAAAAATAAATAAAAACATTAAAAAAATAAAGGACAGAGTTTATTAATTTCTATACTGATATCTAAGTAAGATATATGTATATATAACTGGAAGCAATAAAAATAGTAGTAAAAATTTCTCTGTATCCTCAGCCACTTTTTGGTGATGCAAAACCAGGTTTTTCCCCACTGATAATATATCATCTAGCAAGATGTCAAGGGAAGTTGTTGCTTCTTTTTTATTTAAAATTTTTTTTTCTAATTAGTCTCACTATTTATTTTTATTTTTTTAATATGTTACTTTTTTTTAAACGGAATAAACTGTTAGTCATGCTCAGTCTTGCCATGATCAGTTACATTAAGCTTATCAAATCTTAAACTGAGGTAGAATTCTTATTCCAATTAGAAGCACTTAGTAATTCTCCTCAAAATATCTCTGTAATATTGAAAAGGCAAAAATGCTTGTGTTTCTCAATATACAGTGATGTGATTTCATTGCAATAAGCGTTTAGGAGTGTGAGTTTTCCTCCACTATACTTTTCTATAAAAAGATGTTAGTATGGAATCTATAGAAGAAAAACTACTACCTAAGTGAATATTTAATGGTTGTATGCAATTTTTAGATAAGGACTCAGTGTGAGGCAGTGGTTACTTGTATTAATTAATAAAAACCTTTAATCTCTCTGAATTTTGATTACTGTATTCTTTCCAGGAAATAACTGATCCAAAGCATATTTATTAACCTTGATTAAAAGAGAAGATGACTTTCTTCCCTGACATTTATTGAGATTCTTCCTTTGTTACATGATAAATTTACATGATAAATTATGTGTACTCTAGATGATTAAGCAGGAGCTAAGGAAAAAAGCAAATCATGGCTATCTACTATTCATTCAGAATAGTAGCATAGTAGTAATCCAGTAGTAACAAGATAGAATAGTAATCATTCTATTACTACTTCAGAGGAGGCCTGGTCTTTATTTTCAAGTTAATATGGCAACTTTAGAACTATATTTGCAGTACTAATTCCACTTTTGCACTGATAAAGGTATAAAATGCTGATTTATCAATATAGAAAATTAAGAAATTTTGAAGGAAAACGCCATGACAACATCTGCATGGATTCATTAAGTTTTCAACTTTATAGAGACACATGAAGTCATGCGGTGGAATGAACAATTTTTATTTCATAGGCTCAATACAACAAGTTAAACACACCCAGAAAACTATGTTTTTCTACCTGCTAGTTGATCAGCTGATGTAATGCTTTTCTTCCTTTCATTTGTGGCCGTATGAGTGTACTGTGATGGTGGCCATGCAACAGAGATGGAATTCACTTTGGATTTCTCTATGTAAGAGAACCTGTGTACAAAGGTAAAGCTAATTCTATAGTGAGGCTGATATTTAGCAACTATGCACTAGTGACCAGTTGTCACAACTAAAGGGTGAACACCTCAAAGAACACGAAGTTCCAGGGCTGAAATATAGGCAGATCTGGACCATAGTTAGTGCCTGTGCCTTAGCAGTTGTTAAATAAATACCCCTCCTGCTTTGGAGTTCACACACTTTACCTGGATACTTACTTTTTACCTTTGTAAGTGTCAATTATGGCAACTTGGCTTATGTTGTCTTTCCCACTGAAAACTGTATAAACTCCATCTGCAGTGTTGTTGTACTGAAAAGATACGTACAAGAAGAAATTACTTCTAGGACAAGTCATAGTTTCCAAGTTATAAAGTATGTAACTCATGTTCATATTTTTCAAATACCAGTTATCGATTATTAATAATTATTTTATGTGGCCTGAAACATATATGCAATAAAGTTTTAAAATTATTGGTCTTTAACATTTTAAAAACATAGGCTATAAATGGCACCTCGAAATAAGTGCTAGGGGTTGAGACAAAGGAAGAAAGACCAATACCAGAAGTTGCCATGATCCAAACTCTAGTCATAACTAAGCCAGTAAGGCAATTTTGATCACTACTCATATTGAGGTAAGGGGATATTAAGAAAAAACTTTGAGAACAAGGGAAGACTTCTAGAGGTTTTCTAAATGTTAGGATATTTTTTGTTTTCTTTCTAAATGGTATGATCTTTAACAAGTGGATATAAAACTTAGGCCTACAAAATTAAAAATGCAATCAGCCAAGGAAAGATGTTAAGAGTTTTTGAGTCAAAACATAGTAACTGAATCTCTGATCCTTTAAAGCTTTCTACATTCCTATTTAGTGGCATATAACCTTTCAATCCTAAACACTATCTAAAGGTAAAATAACAACAATAAACTGGAGAATATAACTAATATCACATATAGTGCCAAATAAATCAGTCAAAATTCTAATTCAATAGTTAGCTTGTCCTATTTATAATTCAAAATATTAAACTATTTTAAGTACATTGCCAAATTCACTTTTTCTTTTATCTGCAAACTGCCATTTCTTTGACAAAGTGCATTAAAATAGGACATTGCTGATTTATCAATCTCACTGTGTTCCAATTTAGGCTAACTTTTAAATTTTTATTAACACAAATTTGTGAGAGTTCTGGAGAAGGAGGAATGTTAAGATGAATACATTTAACACAAAGAAAAATACGGTATTAAACTTGATTTTTTGATAAGGGGAATCAAAACAGAAAATATTATTCACAGCCTTATTGGCTTACAACCTATTTTAGACAATTGTGTATTTATCAAAGAATGGAAACCTAATTAAATCTCAGTTTATTCATTTTAAATTTAATTGTTAAATTTAGATGAGTAAAATTTTCTAACTACAGAGCCATCTGAGATAGAGACTTTAAAAAATTAGAATAACCTCAAGATAAATAAATAATAAAAATAATAAAATAAAAATTAGAATATCTACTCCCAGATCAGAAATCATGTGAACACACTAAGTTGTAAAATTATAAATTGACAATGTCATTATATTTATCTAAGATATAAAAAATCAACATTCACATTTGGTACTCACAGGAAAAAACACACCAACTGTCGTGGAAATAGGATATGGAACCAAACTCAAGAACGGATCTTTATAGCCCCACAAGAGCTCTTTCACAGTTCTTCTTTGAAACATGGAAGATTTTGACTTTTTGATAAGTGAATTGAGTACCACTTGAACAAATGCATTTGGGTAGAGATGGGGTGCAGCCTATAAAAAAAATCACTGTTTGAGACATCAATTTTAGTATCATATTTTTAACACATAGATGGATTTAATACGAGCCTTAAGTTTAATAGAAACAAATCTAACCTTATCTTTAAAATTACTGCTCAATCTTGCCAGGACAAAAAGTGCAATTTATCTAATCCCTAGATGACTACATTTCTCTGCCTCAGTGCCAGTCACAAGGAGACATTTAAAATTCAATCCTATTTTTTTTAATGATAAAGTAGTCTTCCAATTCAGTTGTTATGATTTTGTCATTTTTCCAAATGATGCTAAATCCATTCAAAATAATGACATAGGAACATATTTTTTTTTTCAACGTTTATTTATTTTTGGGACAGAGAGAGACAGAGCATGAACGGGCAAGGGGCAGAGAGAGAGGGAGACACAGAATCAGAAACAGGCTCCAGGCTCTGAGCCATCAGCCCAGAGCCCGACGCGGGGCTCGAACTCACGGACCGCGAGATCGTGACCTGGCTGAAGTCGGACGCTTAACCGACTGCGCCACCCAGGCGCCCCGGAACATATTTTTATTAAAATGACAAAATGAAGAATATCTGATGAGAGTTCTAATCATAAGATCCACTACAGTGGATCCTAGAGTATTTCAAAACCAGTACTTTTGTTGTTTGTCTACTTACTGCTACAGCCAGATTGAGAACAGTCCAAGTGTCATTCTCTGTTCCAGCTGATAGTGAAGGCTCGAAGATGGCCTCATTGGGCTGAAGAAAAGAGACTGTGTGGTTCTCAGGATCATGGGTTATATTTTTTTTGGCTAGATAACGAACTCTGAAAACCAGAAGTAAATAAAATTCAAAATAATTGTCTCAAGTGAACAGGTCTCAAATGCCATCCATTCACGTAACAAATAATTTTTGAGTATATAGAATACGTCACAAGTGATGCCAACCAATTGGTTTAAAATGACAAGTAAGCCAATGCGGGGTCTTTAGTGTATTAGAGGTGATCCCAAATCTTCACAACATAGGAGAAGTAACATGTGTCATTATGAGAGCTTATGCAGAGTCCAGGGGGAAACCCAGAACAAATATAAATCCAGGTTTGGGACTGTCATAGTGGGAGTAATGATAGCCGTTTTGGTAGCAAGTCCACCCAGGTGGTCTGAATGACAAACAGAAGTTTAGGTGGAATGGGGTAAAAAGACCCACGGTGTATTGTTAGAAACACAAATTGTTGAATTTGGATGGATTGCAAGGTGAGAATAAGGAGTATTATGGGAAATAGAGCCACAGAAGTAAGCAAGATCTCAAGCATAAAAGAGTTGCATCCTATCCTCAAATGTTTGGCCTTGATCCTGAGGGTAAGGAGGAGACAGTTAGAAAGGTTTCAGTAGTGGAATATTAAGAGTACATTTTCTTAAATGAGAAAGAATGTTCTAAGTACATAGCATATTCAGCACTGGCTTTTCCATATTTTCTAGTACTTTAATGAGAATGAAAGATAACTAATGGAATATAATTTCCATTTTACAGGTCAATTCCCCTCACCATTCCTGCTGTATATTAAATACTTATTAGTTCTAAGCTCCTGGCTGTAAAATCTCTAGGCTTATAAGTACCAAGTACCTTTTAGGAACATGGGGATGGGTGAATGAATAATCTTCATTATTATGAAGAAAAATCTTTTCCAAATACAAGATGTTTATTGGGACAAAATGAGGTATATATCATTCATTTCACTATCATATATGTGAATGTCCATACATGAGATGAATAGATAGCTAAAGTAAAGACTGAAAACCCATGTACAAGGAACAACATTTCACTCCGGTGTAATAAAGTTGTAAATTCCTGTAGGGTAGGGATTATGAGTGTTTTGTATCCATAGGCAGAGTGCCTGGCACATATTGAGTTCATGATAAATAATTTTTTGCATGAATAAACAAATTAGTTAATGGCTCACATTCTTTTAAAAGAGTTCACAGTACTATAGAAAATTTATTTTTAATATAATGTCATCAAAGCTTTATTATTTATTCTTCTTGAAGTACTGTAGACATACCAGGAATATACAAATATGAAAGAGCACCCAAGACAGTCTGTTACTAGTCAACTTCTAGTTTTTCTTATATAATTGTATTTTAAATTAGAGAACCTACTATTAGCATTTAAAATTGAAGTACTTTAATTTTTAGCAAAATTTATGCATGTAAAATAATTGAAACAATAGCAAAATGTTACCCAGATTCCAATTTACTTAAGTTGTACTTACAACATTATACCAGTAGATGGCACTAAGAGAAAAATCTTTTAACTGAGGCCTGTGTTTAGAAAATACTTTTAGAAGCAGAACATAATCGCTCAATTCTTTTGTTTAAAAATTAAAATGTACACAGATTTTGGAAAGTGTTGGCTAATGAGGTAAAAGGGAAAAATTTGCCTTAGACTTTGCCCCAAATTGCTTTCTTTGTACTCCTGCCAAAGCCAAGTAACTTAAAAAAATAAAAGATGAGGGGTGCCTGAGCGGCTCAGTCAGTTAAGCCTCTGACTTAGGCTCAGGTCATGATTTCATAGTTCATGAAGCCCCATGTCGTCGGGCTCTGTGCTGACAGCTCAGAGTCTGGAGCCTGCTTCAGATTATGTGTCTCCCTCTCTCTCTCTGCCCCTCTTACACTCACACTGTCTCTCTCTCTCTCAAGATTAAATAAACATTAAAATTTTTTTTAAATAAAAGATTAATGTTGGACCTGAGAATATTCTCAAGGAATTAATGAGTCTTCATAGAGACCACGTAATTTACAATATGTATAATTAAGATCTCAATCCAGGCAATTTCATGCTTTGACCAATGCTGTACCTTGTCAAAATTTCAGTGAACTCACTTTAACAGACATCAGCCAAATAAGCTGTGGTTGTGTTTGAAGAGGGACATCCTCCTACACTTCCAATTTCAAATGTATTCAGGGTATAATTTATAGGGAGGCAGGTTCAGTAAAACTTATTAGCTGTTAGGAAGAGTATGAAATTATTAACTTTTTCTGAAAGGTAATCAATTATTTTCTTATTATTTAAGGTATCCAAACAGACACTAATGACTCCATTTTGGTGACATCTTAAGATGAACCCTAGTTTAGAATTCCCTTTAACATTGTTATATAAATGGGATTTATTGTTTATAAACTTTAGCTGCAAATCCCACTTCCCTAATTCAACCTTCCCCTCATTGCTTCTCCAAGTAAATCTAAACTAACCCTTTTGTCCCTTAGAGAGATAGGTTAAAGTCTCTAAAAAGTAACTATGTATTAGCTCTCTAGGGCTAGATTCAGTATTGTTTGTTTCTACATATCTCAAGGAATATCTTTAAAAATAAAAAAAATACCCCTGCAAAATAAAAGTGAAAGAGTTCTCAAATTCTAACAACTATTCAGTTTCCTCACACGCATGCAGTTCAGTCAAGTTATAATTTTTTAAACAATTTTTCTTAGATTATTATTTCTTAACAATTTTTTGGAGTAAGATACTCGCATAGGCTTTTTTTTTTTTTTTTAAGTTTATTTGTTTATTTTGAAAGAGAGAGCACAAGCAGGGGACGAGCAGAGAGAGAGGGAGAGAGCAAGAATCCCAAGCAGGCTCCGTGCTCTGTGTTAAGCCGATAACTGGTTTTGATTGCATGACTCAGAGATCATGACCTGAGCCATGAAGCCATGATCAAGAATCAAACACTTAACAAACTGAGCCACCCATGCACACCTCATATAAGTTTTTGATAATAACATGGTAACTTTAAGACCATGAAAAAAACATTTTCCAATTTTTTTTTTTTTAACAATGAAAACCAAGTGTTCTTCAACAGTACTGTGAATAGTCACAGACATATGCACAGAGACAGGAGACTTGGGGACAATTACTAGGACAGAAAAGGCACCAAGGCCCTCTGTAGCTTATATATCACATACTATGGCAGCAGCCACTACCTTCACAACTACTGTTATTTTATTATATTTTGTGTGTGAGTAATCAATCTAAAAATATATTAATGCATGGAAAAGAAACTATATAGACTATCTAAAACATATTAAAACTATGAATTATATGAAATCATAATAAATATGTAATTTTGTGATAAGAACTGATCAAAGTAAGTAACCAGTTGTAATTATCCTTGAGGGAAAATCACACATTTGTATAACAAATGATACAGCAGGACTTAATGGTGTTCCCACATGGATATCATAACTCTAATCCTTGGTTACAGTTAGTGCTTTTAGCACCTCAGTCCCCCCTTGTGTTACTTCGATAGTTGGAGAAAACACATAGTATATAATTTAAATAAGAAATAAAAATACATACAAAAATCTAGGAGGTACCATCTCTTAGGTCTGTGTAAACATAAACAATCACTTCATATCCCTTGGTGTCAGTTTTTTAGTATACAAAATGAAAAGTCCTAGCTAATCATTCCCCTCTAGTTCTAATACCCGAACATTCTATTTAGAATTGTGTTAAACTGTTAGGGTATATAAGAGAAAGGCATAGCATTTTGGTCTCAGTTCTGGAAAAAATATAAGAATGAAGCCACTGAATCAATATAAACACCCATATGACTTGGAAATTAGTTTCTAGAAATCCTTAGCAGGTACTGCGGTTACATAAAATCAGTTTAATGCTGTGGTTCTCAAAATTGAGTAAGTACTGGAATCACCCAGAGGATTTGTAAAACTCATTGCTGGGCTCCAACCCAAGAGTCTCTGATTCATTTGATCTGGGAAAATCTGTAGATTCTCAGCATTTGTGTTTCTACCAAGTTCCCAGGTGAGGCTGTTGCTGTCGGGTTGGGAACCACACTTTGAGAATAACTGATAAAATGTATGCAATTTTAGGATCTTAAAATATTCTGGTTCTTAAAATTCTGATAAGATTTTTTCTATTATGCATGCATATGTCAGAGTTGTTGAAAATATATGTCATAAGTGTAAAACACCCGTGACTTCTTAAATGTAGGGTGGTTATCTGATACTGCTAAATTTATAATAAAATCTGTATTTCTTATAATCATTAAATCCTTAAATCAGGATTCCATATAGGCAGAAACAAAATATTTCATGATATTTTACTGGGAAACAGGAAGAAGTACATCTGAAAACAATGGCATTTTTCAAGTGGAAGTTTTTCAGAAATATGTATGGTCAAGGAAAGAATGCCACTTATTTGTGAGGACTCACCTGTACGTGTAAGGACCTCTTTGTTTAACTTTAATTTTGCTGCTGTTAGCTACCACTTCCTGTGGATTTTGCACATCATAGATCCAAAACTGTCTGTAAACTTCTGTGCCTGTTTTAACCCAATTTTGATAAGCAATGGTACCTTCCTCGAGTACAACCTCCTATGAAAAAGAAAACAAGTTTGGGTTATTTCTCTGTAGTAAATATGGGCACCTCTGGGAGTTTATAACTTTGTTAGCCAAGGCAAGGACTAAACTCAAGTACCTTCTTCATGAGAACCTTGCCACACAGTTGCAACAGAAATGTTTTCAAAAAATTACTATAGCAACCTCTTTTTGTCAACCTTTTACAAAGGGAATCAGGGTATAATATTGCAGACATGGCTGTTGATGTAAGGCCAACCATTGGCAAGCTTTAGAGTGACCCTATATTGCAACAGTTACAACTTATTAAGCAAATTTTATTAAACCTAACAAAGTTCCTACCAGGTTGAACATTAACTTCTCTGCTGTCCTCAGATTGATGAGACAAAACAGAAAAAAGAGAGAAAAATCTGGTGGTATTGAAAGCTTTAACTTTTCTTCAAAAGTTGGACACTTCAGAAGATGATCACTTAACATTTATTAAATTTAAAAAAAATTTCTTCGTGAAAAACACAAATTTGACTTCTTCTCTTCAAAATCCTTCTCAATCCCTAACTTAGTATATATGTGACAACTAAATAAGACATGTTTCCAGAAGCTACAACAGTCTAATGTTATTATTAAAGTTATTACTTACACAATAAAAGGATGAAATGAGGAGATTATCCTATTATTATATTGTGGAATTCATTAAAAATCACCAATGCGCCATGTAGTTAAGATAAACAAGTGGGAAAAAATGTCAATAAGGCAATCACAAAACCTCATGTTAGAAACGTGTTCCCTTGCTTTAGATGCTGTGGAACTGGATGGAAAGTCACCAAACCACTCAGGGTCAATATCATTATCTATAAAAGAGGTGGTTATAGATGATCTCCCAGTTTCCTTCCCTGGCTTTCACTCTCTTAGCCCAAAGTCTATAAGGCTATAGTAACTAGAGCAAACAAAGGTGATTTGGTAGCAGGCAGTATTCCCAATTAAGCACCTTGGGAAGAATGCCTAGAATGGAAAGCTCTACCTTTGTGCTTGAGGAAGAGGAAGAAAAGTATTTCACAGAAAATGAATCCCAACAGATCTATGAATACAGGAACAATCTGATCTATTTGTTTCCTTCACCTGGAAGCATCAATTCATAGAATGATGACTCAGGAAAGGACATTGAACAATATCATATTTTCTAGGAGAGAACACTGAGGCTCTGAGGAACCAGGTGGTTGGCCCATGGGTAACCCAGGCAAATAGCAGAACTGTGATGAAAATCCTAGTCTCTGACTCTTAGACTAGTCCTCTTTCATACCATGCTATTACAGTCTTTTAGTTTTCCTGTCACCTCTGCACCTAGTTGGTAGAAGTAAGATTAAGTTTCATATCTCCAGGATATGTTACTTATTGCTTAATCCAGAGAATAAGGAAATTCCTTAGAGATGAACAGGGAACCAAGCTGAAATGCTATTACAAAATCCTGTGCTGTTGCAATGCATTTTCACTGGGTTCACTGTTGTGCTCATGTTGATGTTAGACCATTACTTTTTATGACCAACTGTCCTTGAAAAACTTTTTATTAGTTCCCCAAAAGTCTTATTTCCAATAGTAACAAGCTCCATATTAAGACAGAGTTACATGCAGATCAAGCATGTAAATATGTTTGATGAGATCGTTGAAGCTGAAAGTTATGTTAATTTACCAATTTCAAGAGATTTTATGAGGGGAAGATACAGAAGAACTTACACATTACTACCTTTGCACTATACAAATCTTAAGGACAATGCAATATCAATTATTTATCATACACCTCTTAAGGCACACATTTTACGTTAGTTCTTAATGAAAGAAACTCAATAAATGTTTATAGAATTGAAAAGGAGCAGTGATGGAAGATACTTGGCAGGGCAGAAAACCTCCCTAACTCTAATGTGTGTGCATTTAACATCAAAAGACTAGAAGTGCATCATGCCTTTCTTCTAAAGGCCAGGAATCACTTTGCCTTATTTGTTGATCTGGAGATATTTTTTAAATGGCAAAGATGAAACGCAAAAAGTTGAAATGAATGCATTGAATTATTAGCTGTTAGAGTTAGGGTCATTTAACCCCATCTCTATTTATTCAGAGGTAGAAATGAGTCCTAAGAAAAACAGATGATGAGTCAATGTTATAGGACAACTTTGTAGCAGGTAATGGAGAAATCAGGTCTTTTTACTCCAATCTTGCATAGTTTCATAATGCCATCGTTTGTTCAGAGCCAAAGAGAAAAACATTGAAGCGGTCAAAATAGGAATGCATCTCTTCTGATCCTAAGACTACTCTATGTATTAGAAAATTGGGTAGCCACTCCTTGAGTACCAAGACTAAATCAAGGTTCCCTTAATTTTAAAAGGAGCAAAGGATTTTACATCACTTGTGAATTTAAAAGGCCTTGAAGTTAAGTTGAATTTGCACTATCTAGCCAATCTTGCAAACCTTTCACTAAGTTAGAAGTACAAAGCTGATAAATGAGCACATGAAAAAACAATATAATTCAAAATCCTCTCATTTGGCTGATGTCTACATCAGTATCTGTCCCTGACTTTAAGCATGTAGACTAGTCCCAGTGCTGGCTAGATTCCAAACTAATGACACTCTTATGTCATGGTCTCCAGTTGGGTTGAAAACTATTGACCTTTGAAACTTCTATTTTGTTACATTAATGTGAAAGCAGAAGTTTGGAATAGTAGTATCTTCTACTTTGTTACATACTCACTAGATTATTGCTTTTGCAGGAAAACAGTGCCCATCACCACCACTGGCAACTTTAGGGTAATTATTAAAATGTCCTTGATAACTTCCCATGGGTGGAGTAGATAGAGTACCAATGTGGAAAATATGTTGTCCCATTTCTCAAGGATCTTGTAAAGTACTAATAGACAGGATCATGTGTAGCAGATTTTAACCTATGAGTTACATTTCCTTATCCTATCCCTACCCTGAACATATAGAGTGGCTTCTTCCCTCCGGGTACAGAGTAAAGTGTTTAAGAATGACACTAGATCCTATGGGTTTAATCCCCAGTTGGGTGCCATGGTAACCATTAAACTTGGGCAGGTTATTTAATTTTTTTATACCTCAGTTTCCTCATTTGTAAAATAGGGATAATAATATTAGGTTGAACCACATGAGATTAGTATTTTGCAACTCAACATGAGTTGACTATGGTTTAATTGAATATATAGCCTCCTAGCTTCTTATAGAGATTAATAAATGTGAGCACTTAGAACAACAGTGTTAGCACAGAGCTAGCATTCAGTGAATGTTGGCTATTATACAAATCCTATCTACTCTTTGGAGGAAGAACTCTAATATTTACTCTCCAGAGTAAATGGAGATGTCTAACCCAGTCATGTGTCAATAACTCATGTAGTATACGGTGACACTTCTTTTTCTTTAAATGATTTAATCATTTTTACATTTATTTTCACTGCAGTGACATCAAAACTTCCTTAAAATGTTCTGCACTGTGTTTCTTCATATTGAAAAGAGTCTTCAGCCTTTCCAGTTACTACCACAATTTGTTCTGGTTAGGACCAGTTACAAACCATTTCCCCACATTCAAAAAAGTTTGTATTACGTACACGGGCATATGTGTGCATGCATGCTTGCGTGTGCATGCTCACAGAGACTGAATTACAATATTAGTGGCAGCTGTGCTGAGAGTCAAAAAATGACTTCAGTCTCAGATTATCAAGTCATCAGTTAAAACACCAATTTGGGGAAACTGATTGGATTTAATGTTTCTGAAACCCAGGCCATTAGCCTCCAAAATTTATGTAAGAACTTAATATGGGAGATTCTGCATTTGGCTTGAGTAGTAAATTATGTTGATATGTCAATAAAAATTGGGCTGGGGAAAAATTACATATGCTTACCTGCTATTTCTTGAAACCCTTTTTAAGTAATTTTATTATTGCAATTAAAATGCTAGTGTATGTAGTGTTTAATTAATTTTTATGCCTCTATTTTAATTTAAAATTTACTTTGGACTGTTTCATGTTCATGCTTATGTTCTCATATATTATCATTAGCATAATTTATACAAATTATTTTTTCATATCTGGAAATACAATAAGCACATATTATTGAAGCAATATAAATGTTAATTTATATTATTAAAATATGGACTATTGAGTCCAATATTGGCTATTTTAATAAACAATTATTTCAACTTATTTTATCTGAAAGCATGTCTTACAAGTTACTAAAGGATTATTCTTTTCAAGAAGTGTGCAAAGAAATGATGTATAATTTAACATTAGTCTTTTAGGAGGAAAGAAAGAGCTTTAATTTCCTTCTTGGTGTTCTATTCTTAATATCATAGGGAAATTAAATTTATTTAAAATTACTACTGTTATACAATATTCATTAAACATTCATCAAGTAATATTAACAGTGTCAAGTGATAAATTATCTTTTATAAACGGTGGCAGGACTTTAACCTTTTTCCAAAGTGCTGTGCCAGTTTCTATATTTGCGGAAGCTAATGCCACTGACTTTGCTTATCTACATAAGGTTGCATAAATCTGTTGGCTCCACTCTTATCTGTTAGGAATCATAGTCAAAAGTACTGGTAAGAAAGTTCTCAGCTGTAATCCATAAAAAGCATGAAGTCCCTAGAAAACATCCCTTAAAAATTAAGAGTAAAATGAATGCATGTGTATATGTATAGATGTGTATATATACATCTGTATATATGTACACACTATACACACATTTTATATATGTATATTTTTAATGTTTATTTATTGTTAATAAATATTGTTATTTATTGTTAATGTTGTTTATATATGTATATATATACATTTTATATATATATATATATATATATATATATATATATATATATATATATATATATATATATATATATATATATATATATATGAAAGAAATAAATTTTCTGGACTATTTTAGACCATTTTAAATGCCAGTTTCAGGGTGCTATCTCTTTTAGAACTGGAAGATATCATAGAGTCCCAGCTTTGCTTTAT